CCGGGTCCCTCGTGTCACCCTCACCGGGTCCCTCGTGTCACCAGTCACCGGGTCCCTCCGTGTCAAACAGCTTGATGTTTCGCAAACGGAGGAAAGTAACATGGGGACGTGTGATTCAGGTTCTTAAATATCCCCAAATTGTCAGGATGTTAAGGGACAACCCCTCACCGCGACCCTGCATGCTGCCGGAGGGAACCAGACGGGAGAAATTGTGGGGTCGAAGTCGAGTAGAAATGTGAATTATGACTGTAGCGTGTTGATAGCATCAAAACGAATCCGTTAAATGCAATGTAAGTCGACGAATTGTGAGGAACAGAGAGAGTAACGGCGGCTCAGCATAGGATGGGAAGAATCAAAACTACACCTCCAATCAGCTCACGCTCGAAGCCTAAGCCACAGCGACGGAAGTCATGGGCGGGATACTTTTGCGGGGCGCCTCACAATCCGACTGATGTCAGACGGCCGTAGCACGGAAAGAACCCCGCTCCATCACACGCACTCCAAATGTCGCTACGGCCTTAGCTTGAGCTCAGCTCCCTCCTGAGCAATGAAGTTATCTATCTCTCTGACTATGCACTGGTCAGCCTCAGAACTGCATATAGTTCGAAAGGGAGCCCGGGGTGCAGCACACTATTGAGTAAAGCTATCGTTGCAAGGCGACATTTTGAAGGAACAGATGGGCGCTACTGTCATAACGTGTGACAGGGGATATCAAATGACAGAATGAACATCACCAACGCTGCTCAAGATTACCAAGCCAGCAGATATAATTTTCCAAAATTATTGCAAACGGTGCATGGCCTTGCAAGCCACGAGTACAGGAAAAACAAGATCCAAAGGGACCCATGGATGATCAGGGGCCGCTTTAACAAACTTAAACTTATTAGTGTTCAAATTAAATAATTGTTGCATGAAGTTGCAGGATGTTGCAGGAGCAATTTACAGTAAAAACGAAGCACCGTAGAATCCCAGGCCCAACTCCACTGTTTTGTCAACGCACAAAATCCCCAGGAGGATTTTAAAAATATTGCAAGATTGCATAGCGCACGCACACAATGTTGCACGCAACCCGCTGCAACCTTGCATTAAATCTCACCGATGTCATTCAGGTGGCTTCTGGCGTGATGCCCGGCTGCTTAACACTCAGGCGACGCATGTTATAAGTTTGAGTTTGTTCCCTACATAATGAGCGTTTTTATAGCTACGGCTTTATTCTCATCGTGGGGCTATGTCCTCATAGATGTAATAGTTATGTATCCTTTTCTCAATTTGTGCGCAAAATTTTATATCGTGTTCCCATTAGGCTCGGGTCCCAAGTTCGAAATTCTGACTTGGTGTTTCCGTGATAACTACGATCAGGTATCTACTGGCATTATGTATACGCTATACATAAGTGCATGTTTTACTATATTTTCCAGGTAAGAGTCATGGAGGATTGTGATTGGGTTTTGAGCAGATGGAAAAACTATGGCGTCCCAAGGGAGCAAATGCTACAATTAGGAAACAGGATATTGTCGCGAGGCTCGTCGTCTAAGGCAGAAATGGCGATTGTTGGTCAATGTAAAGCTATGAACGTGGGTAACTGCACCCGGAGTTAGATTTTGGTTTCTGCCAGATTTTTCCATACATCGTGCTGAGCCTTGGTTCTTGCTGGTTCCGTTGACATGCCAGATTGCATCTTGATTGTTGCCGGTTCTCGCGGCCTGGCATCAAACTAGATCCTAGTTCTTGCTGGATCTTCGGACTTATTTTTTAGGCCTGGTCCTGCAGTTCTTTTTAGATCTATCGGCTGAATGTCAGATTGGATTTTGATTCTTACTGGGCCTCGTTCATGGATTTTGTATCGTTCTGGGACCGGAATCCGATTCCCAGAAAGGACATCATACGAGCCCGGCACAGCTATGCTTGCAAGAAACCATTATCGGTTTGCCACGACTTGTCCAATATTGTTGTTTGTGCCATGAGTCGCCCACCAATGTGTGGTTATTCTAGCCATGTATTTTAATTGGGGCCTTATTTGATAGTGTCATGGCAAGCGGCGGCGATCATTAGCCTGTTGAAATTCGATTCCTGATTTACGTATTCACTGGCTTTTGAATTTGTCATCGTCCTCCCTTTCGCTTGTGCTTTTTAGTCATTCTTGCCACCTCTACCAATCTCGCCTTTGAAAGGAGGAAATGACGGGGCCATCTTAATAGTTCCTTGCTGTTCAAGTGCAGACCAGGCAGTTGCGGAGCGTTTTATTCGGGTGCATTCGATGCAATGTTTTACTGACGGACATCAAGACCATGTGATTAGAACTCCCGGATCCGGGAAGGTAGAGGTTGGTAGATAATTAATCGGCACGTATTCCTGCTATCCACTGCTATTCATGTGTTTTCCGATTCCAAGCGAGAGTGCAGGATACAGCACTGCGTCCCAAACAGAACCAAAGATTCATCGCACGGTACCTCCTTAGAGAACGCCATATACACCTGACAGGCAGTGTTCTCATAAATGACTTATCGCGGAAGAGCGCTGAAATGGACTATGGCCCATCAAGCTATGTATCTTCGCTGCCATTAAAACCAGGTGATGTCGGCTCATGGTAAAGAATCACAGGTTTTAATCATTCATAGCAAAGGTCATTTTAAGTCGAGCTCATCCGTGCAGGGCCGAAGTCAGTATGATTATGAACGACCTTTTCTGTTCCCATGGGTGCTACCGCGATCCAGGTGACTTGAAATAGCTCTGCCCCTATATAACATGCCTGAATCGGGTCGAAATGAACCAGAACGCGTTTCATCTGACCAAACAGCTCAATGAAACGCGGCACAAAAAATGGTTCATGTCAAGCTTGCAGAGCACAGGCTGGCTATCAATAAAACACGGACTTTTGCGTCTAGCGTAGGATGATTCCCGCATGTTTAAAAGAACAATAGGGTGGGATCTACCGGTGTTGTTACAAGCAAGTTACGTTAGCTCCGAACGCCACAGCCGCTGGAGGTTTTTATATGTGTGGAGAAGAATGCAAATGCTCGAAGACTTCCTACTTCGATCGTCTTGTGCAGTGGCTAGGCTGCGCACTTGGTTGACCAAAGGTGCGGGGTTCGATTTCCGCGGTCTTCGCCACTTCTGACATGGTGCAAGGCAGGCTTTGCCATGTAGCTGTAGCTGCTGAAAATGTCGCAAAGCCCCAACAGGTTAGCCTTGAGTACCAGTTGGCCTATGATCATCTTCCATAAGGTGATTCACCTTGACCAAGTTAGTGAAAATCGAAAGCTGTCGGTTAGCAAGGGCGTGCGTTTTGGTCGATCTGTCGTGAAATGACCTATGCCAAAATCGTAGCAAACTTGACAGGAGCCATCGTTTTGCTTTACATGGTTTGCTGCAACTCGGCGGGCGAAAATTTAGTCGCGTGAACCATGAACATCCTACGCTGCCATGAGCCCTTCAGGCCTGTCTTGGCCACACGCCGCGGAGAAGTACCTGACTCGACACGAGAAGCAGCAATTAAGTCGGGTCACGCGTGTAACAGTGTATTAGCCCGCCGACGGCACAATTCGACAGGACGAGACCCCGTGCAATGAAACAAAACCACGTCATTTACAACTGGCACTATGAAACTCTGACCAGGTAATTGCATGTTGTTCGTTGCCGCCGAACGGGACTTGTCGGGCACAATGAACCTGCACATCTACTGGCGGCATGGGATACCACAAGTGGCATACCGTAAAGGCGTGACAGTATTGCTGCTTTCGTAGTGGGAACAACAGCAAGTGCAGTAAAACCCTTCCACGCCACACAACTCGCGTCAAACAGTTCAAGACACTATCCACGAACATATCTAAGTGAACTTTGTCATGAAAACCGCATTAAAGACTAACCCCCGCTTCACAGTTCACATCCAATTCAACGCGATGGAATGCCCACAATTGCCTGGAATTAGTTATGCATGAAGAGACAACCGCATGCATACACGTCAACCAGGCGCAACAAGAAATAAAATCAAGCAAGATGGAGTCTGCAGTGGCGGGTAACGATGACGGCTCCAAGCCCTTTCCCAGAATCGAAACGCTCCAGCTGTTTCTGCTGTAGATGGGATCCACCCAGGAGCGGCGGGCCGTCAGCCAGCCGCAGAGGCCTCGCTGCCCCCCACTATCGCACGCGCCGTCCACCATCATATGCACGTCACACAACACAACCTGCGCACCGACCTTAAAACACAGCTGCCGCAAACAAGGCCAGCACGACACAACAGGAACCGCCACAGTAAAACCGCACACTGGGGCGGGCGGCTCCGGGCACCGGTCCGGCGGCTCGGGGCGCCAGTCCGCCGGCTCCGGGCACCGGTCCGCCGGCTCCGGGCACCGGTCCGGCGGCTCCGGACGCCGGTCCGGCGGCTCGGGGCGCCGGTCCGGCGGTTCCGGGCGTCCGTCCGGCGGCTCCGGACGCCGGTCCGGCGGCTCGGGGCGCCAGTCCGCTGGCTCCAGGCATCGGTCCAGCGGCTCCGGGCGCCCGTCCGGTGGCTCCGGACGCCGGTCCGGCAGCTCGGAGCGCCGGTCCGGCGACTCGGGGCGCCAGTCCGCCGGCTCCGGGCACCGGTCCGGCGGCTCCGGACGCCGGTCCGGCGGCTCGGGGCGCCGGTCCGGGGGTTCCGGGCGCCCGTCCGGCGGCTCCGGACGCCGGCCCGGCGGCCCCGGACGCCGGTCCGGCGGCCCCGGACGCCGGTCCGGCGGCTCGGGGCGCCTGTCCGGCGGCTCCGGGCACCGGTCCGGCGGCTCGGGGCGCCTGTCTGGCGGCTCGGGGCGCCTGTCCGGCGGCTCGGGGCGCCTGTCTGGCGGCTCCGGGCACCGGTCCGGCGGCTCAGGGCGCCTGTCCGGCGGCTCCGGGCACCGGTCCGGCGGCTCGGGGCTCCCGTCAGGCGGCTCCGGACGCCGGTCCGGCGTCTCCGGGCGCCTGTCCGGCGGCTCCGAGCACCGGTCCGGCGGCCCGGGGCGCCCGTCCGGCGGCTCGGGACGCCCGTCCGGCGGCTCGGGACGCCTGTCTGGCGGCTCCGGACGTCGGTCCGGAGCTTGTCGGGTACCACGAGGGCGCATGCCACGTCCACTCAGCGCTCTCCACGGGTGCCACCTGGCTCGCAACGCAGCACTGTAGCCGCCGCGCCGGACGTCCCTGGGGGACGGCCACCCGGCACTGTTGGCGGCGCCGGTGGGCTGCGCCTCGGGGCGCGGTTGGCCATCGGCCATCGCTGACTGCGCCCGTCCAGCCGCACTGTCGGAGCTGACCCCACCGAGCCTTGTCAGCGGGTTTATTACATCTCAGGTCCCGCGGCCGTTTCTCACGAGGCCCTCGGCCGCACCGAGCGCCAGCTCGGGTAGCCGGCCACCATCACAGCTCAACTGTCCCTCGGTAGCAGGGCGGGGAGGCGGCGCGGAGGCCCCCGGTCGCTGTCACGGCAGGTGCTTCGGACCCCCGGCCGCCGCTGCAGGCCGCTCCCAGCTGCTAGCAGCCGCTTAGAGCTCTTGGCGGCCGGCCGCCAGCTCCGCCTGACGCCGCTCGTACAGCTCGAGCGAGCCGACGGTGTATGAGACCCGGCGGCGCTGCGGGCAGAGTGAGAGTGAGAGTGAGAGTGAGAGTGAGAGTGAGAGTGAGAGTGAGAGTGAGAGTGAGAGTGAGAGTGAGAGTGAGAGTGAGAGTGAGAGTGAGAGTGAGAGTGAGAGTGAGAGGGAGAGTGAGAGTGAGAGTGAGAGTGAGAGTGAGAGTGAGAGTGAGAGAGTGAGAGAGTGAGAGAGATGAGAGTGAGAGTGAGAGAGAGTGAGAGAGAGAGAGAGGAGAGTGAGAGGAGAGAGAGAGAGAGAGAGAGAGAGAGAGAGAGAGAGAGAGAGAGAGAGAGAGAGAGAGAGAGAGAGAGAGAGAGAGAGAGAGAGAGAGAGAGAGAGAGAGAGAGAGAGAGAGAGAGAGAGAGAGAGAGAGAGAGAGAGAGAGAGAGAGAGAGAGAGAGAGAGAGAGAGAGCTCGGCCATTGCTCAGACGAACAGAGTGCCAGATGCCGCCGGCCTCGACGCGATCAGCGGCCGTCTGGGACTGGCGCCGCCGGGCCAGGTCCCGACACCGCGTGCCAGGGGGCGCGAGGCGGACGCCCCCGCCGGACAGCACACATCGGGGCCACGCACCACTCCGTGCATGGCTGTGAGGACGGGCCGGATGCCCTCGCCGTCCTTGCAATGTTTACCGTTAAGCATATGGTGGTTCATTTCGATTATTGGGTTTAGACGGGCTCGTTATGATCTCGCCGATGATTACGGGGGGCTCGTTATGATCTGGCCTGATTATTAGGGGGGCTCGTCATGATCTGGCCTGATTATTGGGGGGGGGGGGCTCGCTATGATCTGGCCTGATTATTTCTACGCCCATAAATGAATGTCCATCTAAGATATGATAGGTATAAATAGCATCAAATAGATATATAATAGAGACATCAACACCAAACCATGCGACCAGCCTATGGTCAGCACAGATGGCAATGGGCCCGCCCGGAAATATCACAGATTTCTCGTGGGGACAGCTTCAAAACTAATACAAGAACTCATATAACAACCATCCAAATGGGTCGGAACACAGAACCGTCGGCTGGCCCAGACTCCCGCTAAGGACGGCCATTCATTGGGGAACTCGTGGCATCTCATTATCTCTGGAGGTTACGTCAGCTTAGGATAGCGCTGTCGACTGAAATACCGAGCCAGCCAGGCGGACCAACAGCTCACCCGCGGCCAAGCGGCTCATGGCAGAGGCTAAGATGAACAGCTCACAGTACAGGCAGGGTGGACAGCTCACAGTACAGGCTGGGTGGACAGCTCACAGCACAGGCTGGGTGGACAGCTCACAGTACAGGCTGGGTGGACAGCTCACAGTACAGGCTGGGTGGACAGCTCACGGCACAGGCAGGGTGGACAGCTCACAGTACAGGCAGGGTGGACAGCTCACAGTACAGGCTGGGTGGACAGCTCACAGTACAGGCTGGGTGGACAGCTCACGGCAGAGGCTTCTCTGCGTGCGTGCGTGCGTGCGTGCGTGCGTGCGTGCGTGCGTGCGTGCGTGCGTGCGTGCGTGCGTGCGTGCGTGCGTGCGTGCGTGCGTGCGTGCGTGCGTGCGTGCGTGCGTGCGTGCGTGCGTGCGTGCGTGCGTGCGTGCGTGCGTGCGTGCGTGCGTGCGTGCGGTGCGTGCGTGCGTGCGTGCGTGCGTGCGTGCGTGCGTGCGTGCGTGCGTGCGTGCGTGCGTGCGTGCGTGCGTGCGTGCGTGCGTGCGTGCGTGCGTGCGTGCGTGCGTGCGTGCGTGCGTGCGTGCGTGCGTGCGTGCGTGCGTGCGTGCGTGCGTGCGTGCGTGCGTGCGTGCGTGCGTGCGTGCGTGCGTGCGTGCGTGCGTGCGTGCGTGCGTGCGTGCGTTCGTGCGTGCGTGCGTGCGTGCGTGCGTGCGTGCGTGCGTGCGTGCGTGCGTGCGTGCGTGCGTGCGTGCGTGCGTGCGTGCGTGCGTGCGTGCGTGCGTGCGTGTGTGTGTGTGTGTGTGGTGTGTGTGTGTGTGTGTGTGTGTGTGTGTGTGTGTGAGCGTGTGTGTATGTGTGCGTTTGTCATTGCGGCTTCACGAAGCACTCAGCTGCTAAGGCTATATGGCGTCACCTGCCTCTCACCCTGGCAGGACGGGCGGGCACCGCGGGGAATCGAACCCCGCACGTTTGGTTTCCCAGACGCGCAGTGCTTAACGCAGACGCGTTAACCACTACACTACCGGCACCCCGACAGATCGAAGTGGGCAGCTCACGGTACGGGCTGGAGTGGGCGGCTCATGGTACAGGCTGGAGTGGGCAGCTCACAAAGGCTGGGGTGGACAGCTCATGACAGGCCGGAGTGGACAGCTCACGGCACAGGCTGGAGCGGGCGGTTCACGGCACAGGCTGGAGAGGGCAGTTCATGGCACAGGCTGGAGTGGGCAGTCCACAGCACAGGCTGGAGAAGGCAGTCCACAGCACAGGCTGGAGTGGGCATTATCACACGCCGAGATACCGGCAGCAGCCGTCACATCAGTTATATGGGGAAGATGTCACGACATGCGACACGTCAGAGATGGATGGCAACCGCGGGTCGCAGCGCGCGCCGCGGCACACGGAGAGAGGTCAATGTATCACTTGTGACGCAGGAATATGGGCAAATGCCTGATCGAAGGAGCCCAAAAAGAGAGAGAGAAAAAAAAGAGAGAGAAAGAGAGAGAGAGAGAGAGAGAGAGAGAGAGAGAGAGAGAGAGAGAGAGAGAGAGAGAGAGAGAGAGAGAGAGAGAGAGAGAGAGAGAGAGAGAGAGAGAGAGAGAGAGAGAGAGAGAGAGAGAGAGAGAGAGAGAGAGAGAGAGAGAGAGAGAGAGAGAGAGAGAGAGAGAGAGAGAGAGAGAGAGAGAGAGAGAGAGAGAGAGAGAGAGAGAGAGAGAGAGAGAGAGAGAGAGAGAGAGAGAGAGAGAGAGAGAGAGAGAGAGAGTCTCTGACTCCCTCTCTCTCTCAGAGAGAGTCAGAGACAGAGTCAGAGACAGACAGAAACAGAGTCAGAGACAGACAGAGACAGAGTCAGAGACAGACAGAGACAGAGTCAGAGACAGACAGAGACAGAGTCAGAGACAGAGTCAGAGACAGACGGAGACAGACAGAGACAGATACAGAGACACAGACAGAGTCAGAGTTGGATTCAGAGCCAGAGTCAGAGCCAGTGTCAGTGCCAGAGGGAAGGGAGTCAATATCACAGCGCGGAACCTGCAAAAGATCCAAGCGTCCAGGGTTGGCCTATTCTGCCAAATGCCTTCAAAAAATATGCCTTCTTGACGATAATTTAATTTTCCAACAATGGATTGACACCAAGGCCACAGTGTAAGTGTAGCGGTCAATACCACGGCTCCGACTGCAACACAAACCGATTATGGACGAACATCTGGGGCACGCTTATTCCTGACCGACCACGAAATAATACTCGAGTGCGGAGGCGATGCCTGAGTCCGCTCGATAATGTATGATAACGGGGTGCACCCCGGCTCAGCTCGCAACGGGAGTCACGAAACAAAAACCAAACATGCCTTTAATAATGCCAACTCAGTAAACCGAACGCTACAATAACGATCTCACTATGAAATGTTCGCATAACACTGTGCGCGACCGGACACGTGGGCCAGCCAGGCAGCCGGCGAATTTTCCAGCCACGCGCCCGTCCTGATGGGCACCTACCCACCTTGAAGTCGGCCCAGGCCCTGTCCAGCTGCTCCTGCGTCTTGGCCGCGGCCAGTCGCCGCTCGATGTAGGGCCGTTCCACCTGGTCGTGCGGCAGCAGCCGACAGCCGTGTGTCTGGCACAGGTCGAACGCGCCAGCCCTGCCGGACGCCCGAGTCAGTCACAGTTCGCCCCGAGCCGGCCCGGTGACGGGCAACACGACCCAGCACCACCCGGACGCCGAAGCCACGGTCACTAGCACTGATACGGCCAGGTGACGGGCAACACGACCCAGCACCACCCGGACGCCGAAGCCACGGTCACTAGCACCGATGCGGCCAGGTGACGGGCAACACGACCCAGCACCACCCGGACGCCGAAGCTACGGTCACTAGCACTGATACGGCCAGGTGACGGGCAACACGACCCAGCACCACCCGGACGCCGAAGTCACGGTCACTAGCACTGATACGGCCAGGTGACGGGCAAAACGACCCAGCACCACCCGGACGCCGAAGTCACGGTCACTAGCACCGATGCGGCCAGGTGACGGGCAACACGACCCAGCACCACCCGGACGCCGAAGTCACGGTCACTAGCACTGATACGGCCAGGTGACGAGCAACACGACCCAGCACCGCCCGGACGCCGAAGTCACGGTCACTAGCACTGATACGGCCAGGTGACGGGCAACACGACTCAGCACCATCCGGACGCCGAAGCCACGGTCACTAGCACTGATACGGCCAGGTGACGGGCGTCGCACTCAACTGAGAGCGATACGGCACGTCCCGACCCGGGATAAGGGTCAAACACGGTCTCCCGGCGCTGCCAGGTCACGGAAGTCATCGTGCAGCACCGCCAGGTCACGGAAGTCATCGTGCAGCACCGCCAGGTCACGGAAGTCATCGTGCAGCACCGCCAGGTCACGGAAGTCACCGTCCAGCACCGCCAGGTCACGGAAGTCACTGTCCAGCGCTGCCAGGTCACGGAAGTCACCGTCCAGCGCTGCCAGGCCACGGATGTCACTGTCCAGCGCTGCCAGGTCACGGAAGTCACCGTCCAGCGCCACCAGGTCACGGAAGTCATCGTGCAGCACCGCCAGGTCACGGAAGTCATCGTGCAGCACCGCCAGGTCACGGAAGTCATCGTGCAGCACCGCCAGGTCACGGAAGTCATCGTGCAGCACCGCCAGGTCACGGAAGTCACCGTCCAGCACCGCCAGGTCACGGAAGTCACTGTCCAGCGCTGCCAGGTCACGGAAGTCACCGTCCAGCGCCACCAGGTCACGGATGTCACCGTCCAGACACCACCGGCCTGCTAAGGTCATAGGCACCACGCCCGATGCTACAGGTCACTGAGACCATCCACATTTGCCGCGCCTAACAGTCATATGTCTCCATCCCCCTCCCCTCCTCCCCTCCCCTCCACCCCCATTTCCCCCTCCCCCAGAAATACGCTGGTCACTGACAGCACGCACAGCTCCATGTTCCAGCTAACCAGGTCATCGATCATCGCAACCAACAGGTGACACGTGGAGGTCACAGTTCTGCGACATACTCCGACACGGCGGTCGGCGCGTCCCCCCCCCCCCCCCCTCAAACAAACACGGCGGCGGACGCGCTCGCACGACCCGCTGCCGTACCGCCGTCCGGCCGGCAGGACGAACGGACGGGTCGCCGGCGACCCAAGCAGCGTTCCCAGCTGACGTGGACGGGCCAGGACCCCGGGGACGACTGGACTCCACATCCGGCCCCGTCCGACGATGAAGCCCCGGCACGCACACCGCGTGTTACGCGGCCCAAGGCGGCACTGGACATGACAGGCGCCACTGGGACGGCGGCTAGTCCGGGCGCGGCGAGCGGAGACCGGAGTCCCCCCCCCCCCCCGCCCCGCCCACCTCCATCCCACTCAACCCGCCCCTTCTCCCCGGCTGCGGGGAGCGATTCGCCGCTGGCGCCGGGCCGGCGGCACAGCCGGGTTCGGTGGGGGTCAGACGGGCGGCGGAGGCAGCTGCCGGCCGGACAGCGCTGTGACAGCTCGACGGGCCGCCGGCCACACTAGAATCGATCCTCCAGTCTGCGTGCCTCAGAACAGTTCACCAGCCGATGCCTCGGTGTGCCTCACCAGCCAGTATGCCTCAGAACAGCTTTCCAGCCGATATTTCAGTCGCACGTTGGGCCCGACAACTTTTAGTTGCATTCGGGCAAATTGCACAGCACGATTTGTGTCGTTCCGCGCCATGTTGGATTTGCACAATCCTACAAAAAAGCTTCGTTGATCATCATTGATTGTATTCAAAGGCATAACTTCACAACATTGTATTACATATAACGAACAAATTAGGTCTGAATTATGACGCTGTACTGTGAATTGTTGTTATATTCTGACCACGGACCACCCGCGTACACCTACCGTGCCGTTGCGGCCACACCGGCGCTGGACAACTGACTTGTGATGCCGTGTCACAGCCGCTCACAGTGTGCGAACTCCGCCTGGGGCGCCACGGCCGGGCGTCACTCGTGCACGTTATCGGACCACCCCGACCCCCGAGCCTTAACGCTGACTCTGACCCCTAGCCCCAGCCCTGGCCCCGGTCCTGATCGCTGAGGCACGGCACAGCCAGCCCAACCGCTGCCGACTACTGCGTCCGTCGCAGGCGGCACCCCGGCCGGAATACAAGCCAGATCACAACAACCCGACCGGAACACGGGCCAGATCATGGTGACACCCTTACCACAGCCAGTTGGCTAGAACCGACCGAGGTGACCGGGATGGCCGGGATGGCCGGGTGGTCGGGTGGCCGGTTGACCGGGTGACCACGGTGGTCGGGTGGTCCAGTGGATGGGTGGTCGGGTGGCCGGGTGGTCGGGAGGCCGAGGGGGTGGCACCCTCCTCCTCTCTGTCGTTCGCCCACCTGTCCAGGCTGGCGAGGAATGTGACGCCCACCCGGCGCTCGACCTCGTGCAGGGGCGCAGCGAACTCGGCCAGCTCCCGGTGCGAGGGCACCGGCGCGTTGGGCACCACGAACACGCCCACATGCGGCCGGTCGTCGGGCCGTGTTGCCACCACGATCTTGTAGAGGTGTGTCGGAACAGCCACCTCACCCTCGCCGATCACCTGCGGCGCCGAGTCAGGTCAGGTCAGGTCCGTTCAGATCAGACAGAGGCAACCCAGATGGGGCGGGTCAGATGGGGCAAGTCAGGGATGCTCAGGTCAGCAGGAGGTCAGGTCATACGCGGAAGGTCAGGGTAAGCAGGTCAGGCAGGGCCAGTCCCGAGGGGGTCCGGTCAGGCGGGGTCAGGCCAGCCAGGGCCACTGAAGTCAAAACGCAGAGGCCGTGATCAGATGTGACGTCAACGAGGCTTCTGGTCCAGCGCGGCTGCTAAACTGAGCATACCCCTGGCATTGCTGAATACTCTACGTGGCTATCAGACAACACTGTAATCTCCCAACTCCAGTGACCACCTTCGATGCGGCAACATGCGTTAAGCGAGGGCTAGACGAGATCGGACCAGAAATGCGCGTTGCCAATGCGTATGCGCTGAATATCAAGAAAACAGGGTTCACAAGTTAGGTTTATTTGATGCATTACATACAAATTAGGACGGGTGCCCAGCTTTCCTGAGGCTTCTAATAACAAGCATGATATACATTCTACCGTCACACAGCGGATTGGAAGGTCTCAGGGAGCTAGCCCCGCACTGGACCAGTGCGAATTTCCTTATCTTTAGACTGAAATCCCCCGCTTGGTACTCCCGGTCTCTTAATGGACCCAGTTGGGCTCAGCCCCTTCGCGTTTCCCACGCTCAGCTCCTCAGAGTTCGCCTGCGAATGTAATAACTAAGTGCGGAAGTAATTCCCGTGCCATGCTCTCCGTCTCTCTCACATCTCCACCATCGCAGTCGTATTTACACTAGTGAAGAAAAACAACAGCAGGCCGGCTGTGCTCTGTGCGTCATATACACAGCACGCCGCCGTCTGCGGTTGGTGGGGGGGGGGGGGGAGGGGCGGCGTGCCAGCGCCGCTAGGGGTCACCCGGGCCCGCCAGCACCGCAGCCGGCGGCCGGAAGCGACGCTAGCGCCGCTGGTTACATTGATCCAAACCACGCCACGCGGGCGTCTCGGTAATGTGATTGCGAATCAACGCGTTTCTGGATGCAGTCCAATCGTGTGCCAGCGTTTTGTTACTCTAACTGCCTATTTATGGCATGGGAACGTCATGCATATGAAATATACTTCGGCATTGTGACATGGTTTGAGATCCCATTCAATGAATCAGAACGGTCGCAAAGATTGCACGCCTACTGTAATGCTGCACCACTGCGCCAGTACGTTCATCCCACGTGTGGACGAACTGTGCACCAATAGATCGATAAGTGCCAGACGGCGCCAAGGACTGTCAGCCAGCACCAGGAGCCCAATGGTGAGCGCTCACCTCATACTTGACGTATTTCCTGCCGTCCTCCTCCTTCTGCGGCAGGAATAGCGGGCCCGAGATGACGTTGACGTCGTCGAAGGTCTTGGTCAAATTACGGCAGTATATTTCCAGCCGGTTCCAGAAGCCGCTGTTGTTGTCGAAGTCTTGCGGCACGATGTTGGTGTAGTAGAATGTCTCGTCCATCGCACGCTGACGAGGAGGACTGTGTTGTGAGAGCTCTGAAGAGGAGAAAGATGTGCTTGAAATGGCTTGGGTTTATCAAAACGTTTTCCTATTTTATTTCTCCAGACCGAGCAGAAGCTTCTTTTTTAAGAAACACCAACTCACAAAGTTACATAATTCCAAACTAAACCACAATACAACCTGCACCCGGGAAATACTTCACCTCCGTATTTCGCACCTGCGTCATCGCCCTGAATCAGAAATCTGATAACTGCAGAGTCAACAGAAGGTGCTCGACTCCTATTGCACTCGTGTTAAGACCAACATTGTGCAGAATTATTACATCGTAAAGAACAAATCCCCAGCAAAAGGAGATACAATAGAAATCTGGAGTGCCCAACAACATGTTTGACTAAAACGACGCCCCCAACCAAGCATTGGTTGTGCTTACAAAAACACGCCTGTCTGGAGCTGCCCTCAACACTATCTAGGTCCAGGAGCACGGTCATGCTCATGGCCCTGGATAGTGTTGTTTCTGACTTGTTCTAGACTTGTTTCTGTTAACAAAACAAAAAAAAATGGGGACCGAGTTCACGGTTGTTAACCACTGTATTGTTGTCGAAGTGCCAGGCAGGGAAATATCCCATGAATACGACTTTCACAGCATTTCATAAATAGCTTACTGTATTCTCCGAAGAGTGCTGACTTCAAAACACTGATTCTCAACCATCTCAACCTTTGAGGGATGAATACTTCTGAGGCAATCTGAGTCAGGTTTAGCTAAATCTAGTACGAGTACTGCCGTATCTGTGAGGATCACGCGCGGAGTCGATCCATGCCAGCTCGACTGTCACCGTGCCGCTGGCAGCAAGGCGTTGCCATGCAGGTGCCGAAGACAACGCAGTTTGACCGAGAGGTGTCTCTTGACCATTTCAGGTTTTACGGCTGTTTTGAGCTACCACGGAAAGCTGCTGATCTGGAAAAGCAACACTTCCTCAAAATATATGACTTCAGAATAAACACAGGTCCCGGCAGCAAATGGCTTTCATCCTTTCTTGCTAACGTGTGGACTTCTGTGAATTAGCCCCACTGGGCATGTAATGGAGACCACTCGTTGGTAGTTCAGGCAAAATGCTCGAACCATTTACTTTGTTTTAAAGCAATCAGAAGTTAAAATTAAATGTAAAACGTAAAAAGACGTCATCTACACTTTGCCCAACCTACCTGCACTACTGCCTGCCTCCAACGCTACAGCTAATGCACTACATTGCTTTCAGGGCATATTAGTGAATCGTCCGTAATTCTGCACTTAATAAAGGCTAAGACTTTCGCTGGTTTAGATGCGCGATAAGCACTTTCCTGCTGTTATGCATGCTCACAACTTTGATGTTGAAGGGAGAGTTCCACCTTCAGAGTATATTTCAAAGGGTAGGGACTACACGGCCGACCAAATCTGTTGCCAGCCTCAAGCTCCAAGCCTATGGCCGATTGACATGAACTCCTACCCATTCTATGCGGCTTGGTCGATAGCCCATCCTTTCCAAAACATGATGACCTTGGGTTAAGTCAAAGGTTCCCAAAAATACACAAACTGGGAAAAGGAAGAGTTGACAACCACCCCATTCTCCGAGCATATGGCACCGATCGACATCAAGCCTTCATCAATCGATGTGCCATAGTCGATATACTGTCCTTGTCAGAACATGGTAGCCTTGAGTCAGGTAGGTCACCAAAAACGGCCAGTCACCTGAAATTAGTTTGTAGACAACCCCACGCTCAGAGCCTACTGGACCGATTGGCACCACGATTTTACCAATTGATGCGTCATACTCGATATCCTGTCTGGTCCAGAACGTAGTGAACTTGAATCAGGTCAAAAGGTCACTAAAAACGGCCCAAACCACCTCATATTACTTTGCAGACAACCCCATGCTCCGAGCCTATGAGACGTATGGAAACCACACTTTCACCAGTCGATGTGCCAGAGCCATTAACCTATCCTTTCCACAACATGGTGACCTTGTGTCCGGTCGAAGGTCACCAAAAGCTGGTGTACTAGAATTGCCGAGTTTGGGTGTAAAGCAACACTTTGTGAGGAAGAATTTCACACCCTTTTCCCCATACCTTATGTCAATTCTTCACTCCCACCTGACCTTGCCTAACCACACATACCAAACCCATACTTCCCTCTCAGAGGTTTTATGATCTTATCCAAAACCGAGCTCACATGAAGCCATTCAGCATGAACAAGCTCCACAGAATCTGGACACCTATGGCTGTATGGCCTTACCTACATCTGAATCACGCCTATGTATGCACAGAGCAAGGGCACTAGGTACCTTCAAGACCGTCAGCCCCAGCGACTCCAGCTACTTACATGCATCAAGTTTGATTTGTTTACAAAATGCATCACAATTTACAGCTGTGTCCTAAATGCAAGGTTTTCAGGCATTCCCAATTTTTTGGCTCGCGCCACACAAACACCACACCAGCAAAGTAAAGCCTGGTACGAACGCCAGCAAAACCTGGTAGAAAATTGTACTCAACGTATTTCTTTTACCAGACGAAACGTGACCATTGAATTGCACCACTCCCGAAAGGTAGGAGTGAAACATTCAAGAAATACGTTCTAAATGAAATTTAAAAGCTAAATATCACATTTCGAGCACTCATCTACACAAATTTTAAGTCGAATGAGTTGATTACAAAACTGGACCTAAAAATATAAGTATTTACATTCATTTGATTCATTTTCTTTTCCTTGGTCTCCTACGAATTTGACAACTTTCTCTTTCCTTCCTTTCCAATTACCTTTAAAGACATCATCTAGGGCTTAAAACGTTGACCAATTGCTCTGCAAAATGTGCCAGTTGCAAGCTTGCTCATATTTGGTACATAAATTGGATTAGGTCGCCAGCCGCCCAAACATGTTTGATATGCACCCAAGAGTGAACAATTCACAGGCAATAAAGGAGACAATTTGAAGCACGGAACTTATTTCTAGCACCACTTTGCCCTGCTAAGCCTCTAGTTAGCCGGGTTTCTTTTTTGGTCCATGGCGGGGCTCGATAATGATAAATGCAAGCCGTTCTCCTTGACCGAAGCCAACAATGACAATCAGAAAACATGTTCAAAGTGACTTCAGAGATTTTGATTTGTGTTGTCAAGTTATCTGGTGTCAATAAGCTGACACAAATGAATTGAACCAAATCGCAAGTTGAAACCAGTCAGAAATAAGCTTTATCATGTTTGTATTACAACTGCTGCCGTCAAAAAAAATGGTGGGCTGAGTTAAGATGATGTGTAACATATGGGCTACTCCGGGTTAGGTGAAGTTTGTTAATTGCATGGCAATTGGCAGTAGGAATTTTGCAAGAATCAGTGACTCACAAATGCTGCTGTGATACAAATAGGTTAGGCAAGATGAGATAAGGTGAGGGTTTTTCAGTTTAGGCTTAGTTGGGTTAATTTCATGGAAATAATCATTGGCATTGTGTGTGTGCGTCATCCCATTGGGGCTTTACGACGCACCCAGCAGCTGAGGCTATATGGCGCCGCCTGCCTCTCACCCTGGCAAGAAGGGCGGGCACCGTGGGGGATCGAACCCCGTACCTCTGGTTTCCCAGACGGGCAGTGGTTAACGCAGACGCCTTAACCACTACACTAACGGCACTTTCATTGACGTTTTGCCAGAAAGAGCGGCATAGTATGTGCAGTTCCTGACTACGTCTTAACAGAAGCCAGTGGTATGTCTGTTGTGTTTGATTTGTCGATGGATTGATGTGCAGGAGTCCGAAGCTTTGTTGTTTGAATGTTTTATGCTTGTTGAATTTTTGTTATTAAATTTCGTTGCTTTGTTTTGTGTTAAAAATCCCGTGGAAGGCGAGTGCAAAATGCAGCATCCCGACATTGGTATTACATGGTTTTTAATCATCACACTATTATGAAATTACTATTCCTTAACACATTCTGTTTTGGTGTAACGACCTACACTATTACAACAAAAATACTTTTCTCATGTTTACGATAATTTGCCCATGCCAACTTGACATGTACGTCTTTGTTTGCCCAACCATCTCTCACCGACTCATAACTTCCAACTTTTGTTAATTGAATTTTTCACTCCCGTACGGTCTTTTCGCGACGGAATTCTTCACTCCCACCTTAGGTGAAGAGCTGCTGTCAAAAAAACTCCCAAAACCACCAAAATTGGCTGTAGACAACCCATACTCGTAGCCCACAGCACTGATCAGTATGAAACCTTCACCGACCGATGCGCTGCGGTTACTTTTAGCAGTTTTAGTGGTTTAAGGTCACCATGTTCTGGAAAGCATGGGACGTCAACTATGGCGCACTGACCGGTGAACGTTTGGTGCCCATCGGCCTCATGCGCTCGGAGCATGGGGTTGTCTGCAAACTAATTTCAGGTCTTTTTGGCGCTTTTGGTGACCGATCTGACTCAAGGTTGCCATGTTCCAGCGGGGATGGGATATCGACTATTGCCAATCAATTGGTGAAGATTTGGTGCCGATTAGTTCCATAGACTCGGAGCATGGGGTTGTCTGCAACCCTTTTTCCCTGTTTTTGTACTTTTGGTGAGTTTTGACTTGACCGAAGGTCACCAGGTTCTGGAAAGCATGGGTTATCGACCAAGCGACATGGAATGGTAAGGGCTTCATGTCAATCGGTTCCATAGATTCGGAGTATGAGGCTGCCAACGGGTTTGGGTTGCCGTTCAGTTCCTTCCATTTCAAAAACATACTCTGGTGGAAGCTCAGGACCAGTTACGCCTAACGATAGCACTGAACAGTGCCACTGCAGTACCATCAAGATATACAGTGACTTCATTATTCCAAATTAAGTTGTAACGTTTTGCCACCGCACTACACTTCTTTCGTCCCTTACGGTCCGTAAGTGTAGACCTCGTCCGCGACAAATGCAGCTGTAGCCACTGTCCGTCGTCATGGCGACGGCAGCGTTCGTTGAGGACCGTTGTCAATCGTTGCGGATCAAAATTACCACTTCTGAGCTGTTTTAACCCGCACAATGCGGGCCTGCAGGATTAAACGCGGCGCCTCTACCGGTATGCACGACGTCAGCATAAATGACAATCTGTGATTGGCACAGCGGACGGCGTGGACCACTTACTGCGAAGCGTCTTGGTTGAAGTTTGAACCAGAGCGTACCCAAAGACCGCGCAATACAGGAGTGAAGCTTTGCCCTTTTCATTGAGGGCCCAGCCATGGACCTTATCTTATTTCCCAGACGCATTTCTGCACGGACTTCGTCCATTTTATTGAATGGTTATAATTTGGGCTTGACATAAGGAAGAAAGGCTTTTAGCTTTCAGTTTTTCGGTATTATGGGTTGACAATTTTGATGTTGCGTTAACGACCTTATGTTTACAAGGATGTCCTGATTAACCAGCGTTGCGGTACTTAAGAATGATTATATTCGCAGCACTCAAAATTTCGAGCCGCACACATGCTGAAGAGCTTATCTCTTAGGGGGGTGAGAAAAGAACAGCAATTGGAATTTAGTTTCTTCGCAATGTTTATTCATAGACGTCTCATAGCTTCCGCAATGTGATAGAAAAATTTGCCATCTCGTTTTGGTTTGTAGACTGCTCACGGACTATCATTTGCTGGCAAAAAAACAGCCACTACTTGATCACAGCACCCCCTTGTTTTAGCGTACATCGCACGAGCCCACAAATTGTGCCGCTTTGAGGCTATTCCAGGAGGCTGTGGGAAGGGAAGAATTTTGAGTAGTAGGCTCCTCCCGAAAGTACCAGCCACTGGAGCTACAGAAGATGCTCCATTGAATGGTATGATGGCAATGATCCAGGACGGTCTAAATTTGATTGCCTCATTCTTCTGCTTGCAATCGAACAAAGCTGTGCAGACAGGGGTGGATCCCGAAGGGGGTGCACGCCATTCACATCCTCGGGCCATCCATAATTTTTTGGTGTCATAAATGGGCACCAAAATATAATGGTAAAGCTATGCCAAACCCTTCATTTCGGGACACCATGACCTTCATTTTCGAGGAAAACTTCTTCACCTTACGCCCTGATGAAGTTCCTCATCGACTCGTTCTTCGCCGCTTGGCGAGTGGCACTAAAACTGCAGTTCGGAGTGTCATGACCTTTACTTTCCAGATAGGTCCAGTTTCAAGGGGCACAATAAGGGCCTCACAAACTGTCCCAAAATATTTACTCGCACAATGAATGATTCAAGGGCGCCACCAGCGGTGACAGCGAGGCATGTAGGCAACCTTAGGCTTTTATGTCCCGATGGTTCTGGGGGGGGGGGGGGTCTTTGGGCCCCCAGACGCCGACGATCAAGGGTCCGATCGGAAAGTCTGAAGGGCAGCCGGAGTGAGGAACACATGAAAGGACCCGTCAGAACGCCGGACCTTCCAGTCAGTTGGAGCACCCTTTGCACCGACAGCGGCCTCTAGGACAGTGAGGGTCTCCGTGTCAAGTCAGCTGGCGGATACCACCAATGCTGTGCAGTCGTTTTCATGTGGGTCTGAGTTCTGCAGCCCCCTTCCCAAGAGGGGCCAGGGCCGGGGGCTGCAAATCTTAATCAGAAACCTCTCGCATTGTTCGAGCCCCTAAAACAGTGAAGGGTCCCTGTGCTGATTAGGGGCTCACAGACCACAGTGTCTTACAGGGGACGTCGTGTCGGCAGCGGCCCCAAATCGGCCAGGGCACATTGGCTGAACAGGGACAAGAGCGGGACCCAGATTGTCAAAAGACCTCCGGCGTTGTTCAGGGCCCTCTTGATAGGAAAAGAAGACATGAGAAAAGGAAGACGCAGGTGTTCGCACTCACATTGAGACAGTCGCCTGTGTCAGTCCGAGGTCCCAGTGCCGAATGAGGGGTCCTCTGCGCCGTCTCAACCAGGGATCCATAAGCCGAATTGGTGCCTCCATGCCAATTACTGAACTCCCTGCGCCGGTAAGGGATCATTTGGGTCAGTCACGGCCCGTGCGTCGATCTTGTGCCAGATCCCCCGTTCAAAGGACCTCCGCATCAGGAATGAGGCCGGTGCATGACGTGTGCCTCTGAGGACCTCAGCTAGCAGCTAAATGTGACAGCTCAGTTTTGGATGATTTCGACAGGGGCTGTAACTGATTTCCCAGCTGTCTTTCCACCAAGAGATCCCTTTATTACATGTGGTGCCCCTCTCTCCCAGGACCCGCTGCACTCCTGACCACAGTTCAGGTCAGCGCAGCCAATGGGAAGGGTTTGTCACCCCTTGGACCACTTTTCTCGTATTGCTCTAGGCTCTCCAAAGAAAGTTCAGCACAAATATATGTATAACATTAGATGATGTTTACTGTAAGATCCATCACCATTAGGCAGATTCTGGCATTAGCCAAGTGGAAATTAAACCAAAAGTGGCACATGCCCATTAACAACATCCCATGCATATATCTCCATCATGTGCAGATTCTGTTCTCCTTGAACGCCAATATTTCAAAATGTTGATCTTAGTCCCTCAGCAGCCAGCCCGTTTACCGTAGCTGACGGGAAAACGCTGAGTGCGGCCGGTGTCGTGGCGACCGGTAGTTCTCACCTGGTCGTATTTGTTGTTGCCGGCGGGCGCCATGTGGCCACGGCTCCAGCCGCTGCGCTTAAAGTCGGCGTCCATGGCCGAGAACAGCGCCGCCGTCTCCGGGTCTGGCTGGAACCGGCTGCGGCGCCTGTTCGCCTCGCCCTGGTGGACGCGGCGCGAGGCTGTGATGCCACGGAGTGGCACCAGGTCGCGGCCTGATCAGCATCGTAGGCACAATGTTGCGGGAGCGCGCCGCGAACGACAGGCACTGCGCAAAAAACTACACAGATGCAAATTCGTTAGGTCTGTTTCATGAAAAGTATTCACTTGCTAAGGATCCCTGTAAAACAGTTTGTACATGTTTCTCGATCAGTAGCCCAGCACCACCGAATGCTGCAACAGCTGGCTGCTGGCATCCTTCTCGCAGGCGAACCCCAGCCGCGTCATTATATTCAGAGTTCAACGGCCGTCGGGTCGACTTTGTGCGGCACCCACCTTGATGGTGTTGCGGTCGATGTGCTCGATCACCCAGGTGGGCACCTTGCGGCCGGCATCGTAGCCCACCATGTGGTTGGTGAAGCGGGCTACAGGCCGAGCCGCGCGCGGTTCGCCATACTGCAGGATCTTGGACCAGCGCTGGTTGGAGTCCGGCGCCGCCGCTGCTGGCCGCCGGTCAGGGGCATCAGATGGGTCACCAGAGCCACCACCTGATGATGTCCACTGACTGCCTGATGGTGTGCATGCTGGCTATCACATGACAGGTTGGTACACTGGTATTTGGCATCCTTAGATAAACATGGCATCCATGGATTTCACTGCATGGAGTTGACAAGAGGGGTGTCCATGTTAAGCACATACTGAAATATGTCAAATGCCATCACACACCTATCACACCAATGAAAGGGATTCATACTCTGGCAAAACTTACGCTTTCCTGAAATATCACTAAAATTCCACAAATGGCAGTCTACCCTTCTGACCAAAGCCTCACCACTCCCACACAGCCCCAGGGAAGAGGAGGCACTGCCCTCTAGCCCTGCAGCCACATCTGTCTGGCACTCACCTGGGCCGTTGCCCAGCTCCCGTTCACTCTGTTCACTTGGCTTGGACTGCTCAGTGTGGAGTGAGGGTGTCAGTGCCCAGTAGCAGAGTCCACCACCTAGAGAGCCCACCACCAGACCAGAAAGGAAGTTGCGGGTGGCCAGCCGGCGTGTCTGGCTCAGCAGCATGATCCCAGGCTGGTGTGCTGGCAGTCAAGTGGATGGCTATCTGAGAAAAGAAAAATTAAGAAACATGCACAACAATAATCAGTTATACTTGTCTAATGGTGTGTGATATCTTGAGTACTAATCTTGGTTGAATTTTAGGATTAGCTTGTCAAGAAGCATCAATAGTGTGTTACTAGATATGGGGATCTCCTAATGCCCAGATAGGTTTTTTCTTATCATACATGGCCTGACTCCGAACAGAAACTTTAAAATTGGTGTGGTGCTGCTCACTGAGCCTAGCTCACAGCTGTCATGATGCCTGGGTGTCCTGGCTTCAAGCCAACAAAGCATTATGCCATGACATAGGTAAACATGTGTATCACAGTATTCACATGACCTTATGGTTCTTATCTTTAGATGCTCCTCAGGCAGCCAAACTCACAAGATAACATCCCATACAGCAGGTAAATTAATTTAACTGTGCAGTGGGTACAGATAGGCTCTTGTACACCTCCACAGGAAGTCCAGTGGAGCACTGGTGAACATGCCATATGTATGTGATCAGGGAGATCAAAAAGTAGAAGACAATACAGGCCAAGAACTGCACAGTTATCACTAATCAAAAAACACCAATCAAATACCCCATTGTTGTACGGCCCTATAGAACAGTCAAAGCAGGGTATATCATCAAATGAACATTTTGAGGAATAGACAACTAAAAACAAATCATTATGACAAAATTTGAATATGATCAATAACAAATCAAGGTAAACATCCTGATGCAAACCACATTCCACAGAGTATCACACTGCATTGCATCCCTTCTGATCAATTATTAGGATTGTCCAAGCATAACCTAAAGTTATATATTGCATAATGGTCTATGAAAAACAATATTCTGTAATAATTAGAATTGTGTGCATTTCCGGGCTTAGCCCTTGCACTATACAGAGCTGTTGCATTAATATAAAAATGTACACAATGCAGTACTCCACAGCATACACATCACAAATGCCTGTATTTCTGAATTTTATAAAATCCCAGGGTCAACATCCCACATCCAATGCTAAGATATTTTGGCAAAACGCTACCCTCGTTCCCCGCCTCTGATGGAGGGACCAGGGCTACGCTGGCCGTAAGGTGCGGGCACTGTCGTGCCACGTTAAGGATGTGAGACATCAGCCGATAATGTGACGTCACTGGGTTCTTGGGCCGACTGGCGGCCGTTAGGCATCACCTGATGGTGTAACGTCGCTGGTATTCTGCTGAGTGTGTGACGTCACTGGTTGTGAATTTTCAGGGTTCTTCTGGGCCGAGTGAATGCTGTAAGGCATAGGCGTAGGAACGCTTCAGAAAGTGTGTGTGGGGGGGGGGGGGCCAAGCTCAGGGTGTACTTCAGGAACTTTTTCTGGAAGGCGAGCCCGATGACCGGCGGGGGGGGGGCTAGGAATGGAGGTTGTTATCGCTTTCTATCCAAATGTCATGGCTGCTATGCTAGATATGCATCTAAAGCTCTTGATCAATGGTGCACAATCTTGCCTATGCGACTAATCTGCCATTTGGCAAATAAGGCTATTCAGCTTCCCTTGATTATTCGTCCATTTTAACATTGCCTTTCCTGGGGAGGCGAAATTCCACGAGCGGGAAGGCATTTCGGGTCGTTAAGGAAGTGTCTGCCTGCACAGTGTAGATGCCAAAATACGGTCTGGATATAGGCTGGTGAGAATTTTGAAAGTGGATCGATGGTCCACAGTGCGACAGATTTTTTCATGCGCCTTCATTTCGCTGGCTGCTTTTCAAGAGATAAGACTTGTCGCAGCATTTTAAGCGCAAACAAATTCGGGAGCTTGAAACTGCTAGAAACAAGGTGACAAAAGCCATCAAACTGAAGATTCTCTTCTCAGAATCAAGTCACATAATAACGCCCATCCGTCATATGTTCCTTATCTAGGCCCTGCTCCTGGCCACCGACAGTGGCCACTGCCCTGGCCCGGATGTCTCTCGCATGACTGACTGCGAACTGGTCGTATTGCTGCTTTGTTACATACTCCTGCATACAAGACCAGCGTTACTACTACATGGCGTATGAAACTCGTGTTGGACACCTGCAGCAGTATCTTTTTCCGAACTATCTTCCCTCACACCACACCATCGCAGAAAAATAGCCTCCGGAAAGCTGTCTGCCTTAGGAATGGTTTAGCCCAACGGACACTTCATTGCCCATCATGCAACGCATACGACTTAATCTGCTTTTGTGTGTAGGCAGGAACGTAGCCAGAGCCTTGCCAAGGGGGAACACAAGGTTGACAAAAGTCCATCTTATGATGACACCCCCCCCCCTCCTCCCCCCCAAATCCCCGGATATAGCTTACTTGTTAACAAGTGACAGCTTTCTTCGGGATGCGTTCATATTGTCCAAGGTACACAATGCCCAAAGGAACAGAATGTCCAAAGTACAGAATGTCCAATATACAGAGTGTCCAGAGTTCATAATGTCCAAGGTACAGAATGTCCAAAACGAGAAATAACTTTCAAAACAGCTCGGTGTGGAGGTGTTCATTTTGTCCAAGGTACAGATTGTCCAAGGTACACAATGTCCAAAGAACACAATGTCCAACGTACAGAATGTCCAAAGTTCTTAATGTCCAACGTACAGAATGTCCAAAGTACGTATTGTCCAAGGTACGGAACGTCCAAAGCACACAATGTCCAAGGTACACAATGTCCAAGGTACACGATGTCCAAAGTACAAAACGTCCAAAGTACGTAATGTCCGAGGTACACAATATCCAAGGTACACAATGTCCAAGGTACACAATGTCCAAAGTACAAAATGCCCAATTTTGTTTCTGGGGCGGCCGTCAGGGTATGAATCTTAGCCTTTATTGACCGTCAGCGACGTTCCCAGAAGCCTCCGCCGCGCATATACATCCGGCCGACAACACTACCACTACCCGGAGTGCGGTCCGCCGTCCGCCGGCGACCGTTGTCGCATGCGGAAGGCGGAATGACGTAGTGAGGTATTTGTCCAATGACAGAGCGGCTCGGGCCGGCAGCGATTGTGCGAGACCCGTGCGGCGCCTCCCCGCCTTGACAACTGCTCGGCTTTTGCTGCTTGGTTATGATTAGCGCCATCTACCGAAGCGTGAGAAACTACAAGTGCTTGGAAAGCCCGGTACGCGGTCCGGTTGTTCATTTCCAGGGTAACAGACATCCTTCCATTCCTTTTCGGCTTTGTGTCACTGCCATTCTTACGAGAGACCTGTAGTGTCCTTCCCTGCGCTCTCCACACTCTCGCTGCGCATGTGCGAAGGTAGCCGTGGATCAGCTACTTGTCTACTTGCTTTGCGGCTTGACGATGCTTTCCTCTGGGTCGTAAGGAAAATTTGGGTCTACCGACCAGGACGTCTGATCATACGCGACCCATGTACCAAAATTCGTGCTCCATGCCTCCGAGTTGGGTCAGAAATTTCGCAAGCTCTCTACTTATGCTTTCGTACTGCTTCTGAGTGCCTCGCCAGAGCTGGAAGTACTGGGCACGATGTACGATACAACATAATCCGGAAAATTCCAATGCGTGCCTTGCCAACAAGCCGTCCGTGGCATTAAGTGGATAACGCTCATGGCTGCTGTTTGTTTTCATGGTTTGCTTCGGATCTGCATTATTTGTACGAAAAGAATCCGGAATTTGAATTTTGAAGCACAAATCAAAGGATTTCACGCCAGGTGCCATAATCCATCCCCCCCCCCCCACGCTTAAACCCGCATCTGGTTTGTAGTCATAGATGGTTTCTGAAAAAATTTGAGAATCGGCACAATGTGTGCTCACCGAGCTCCGGACCCCGCTCCACTTGGAAACAATTCTGGCTGTTCGCTACCGATTTACACCTTTGACTTGTAAAGGACAAGCGGTGACCCACATCACAGCCAGGCAAAAGAGTATTTCCTTCGTTGTATGTCGAAACAATCATATACTTTCGTTGTCCAGACAAAGCATATTGATATGTCTCCTTTTATGGAGCGCCATCGCCTGCAAACACCAACGTTGGGGGCCATGACGCAGCAGGGGTTAAATCCGGATTCCCACGAGGTGCTATAAGCGCTAATCACGTTTATTACGCCCTCGCTCCGTACATTCACAATGGCCCCAACATGGTCACCGAGCTTCTGTTTTGCTAACACTTTTCAAAACTCAAGTGAACCAAGTGCCATTTCTACTCCATGGTAGAATGGTCTTGGTCTTCAGAATGGGTCAAGTGCCATGGGTCTTCAGAATAATGCAGCCCTTTGCATGCAGCATAAATGCTCGGCTCATCTTCTGCTCGCTAAACCGAAATTGCTCCGTGGCTTAGTAATACGTATTTAGCAAATATGAGTCCATTTCTTAGCATGACTGTTCTGTTTCTAGTGCATGTATTTAATTCAACCACATGCATGGGAACTGAGAGCTAAGTCGTTCAGCAAAAACAACGTAGGTGGAGGCTCGCGAATAGACACCTGCAAGCAACTTCGGTTTTTCTAATTTAAAAAATGACATTACATTAAAGAACGATTCATATTTTGCGAAGGGGCCGTTTTGTCTGATCTTCTCATTTCGCGCAACTACATCCTTGATTGAGCAAGAAGTAATCGGTAGTGTGCAATAGGAAAAGAACCCCGTTACTTTTTCGGTGAGATATTGTTAACTGATAAGCGGCGCATTCCTTGAATGTGTCTCTGTGTGAAATTTCACTGAAGCAAAAGCAGATCCGATAAGATAATTCAACAGGGACATTGCAACCGCATTTCTAGGAAAAGATCAAGGAGTTTTCAATTGTGACGCAATTGGAAAATATTGATGGGTATTTTTACGACACTCAGCACCAAACCAACCGTTTGACCCCAACGTGGCAAAAAGCGAGCACTTGTAGATTGTTAACAATGCAGGCGTGATCTCCGCGCCAACATGTGTCCAGCACCGGATCTCATCAGCAGCTGTAGGTGCTGACCCTGCGTTGTTGTGTCGTTCGTGTCAATAGCAAGTTGCGAGCACACCTGGGTTAGGGACCATGCGCTTGTCATTGCATTGTGTGCATATCGTCTTTCCTTCAGTGGTATTATGCTCAGAAACAGCGGCGACTCGCTTACGTTCCCTTTCCCCTTTGCATTGCGCCTCGCAGTGACAGCACTCTCCCAGCCTCTTCTGGTTTCCTTACATCTCCGTTCTCCTACGTAGTAACGAATATCAACAGCCATGCACGTTTTCTAAACATATTTTTTAAAAAGCGTTACAACACCGCGACACATTCACCCGCGTTTACAAAAAGAACTCTCTGGGAGGCTCCCAGAAGCGGCCTCGGCAGAATGGGCACCTGGCCCGCCTTCCGGGCGCCCGCGCCTGGATCGCTCGCAGGCACCGCATGCAGCCGTAGGCATGCAAGCACGGTAGGACCGCGCCCCGGCGGACCTGGTTGTCCCACGGCTGCAGGCATACTTGGCATTGATGATGATTGGGGTTTTAGGGCGCGTCGACTTCTAGGGTCATTTTGCGCCCATAACAGCTAAGTGTTTACCGTGGCGTATACATGGCTGTGAATCCTACGCTTCTCAAAAATGAAAACAGCTGTCCGGTGCCAAGCATGCGAGAATCGTCACCAATAAGGTCTGAAAAGGTAAGACCTGACGCATCTCGTCCGAAGTAAAGTGCCCGCTCTTCTCTGAACTGTGGGCAGGAGTGAATAACGTGGCGAACCGTAAGTGACGTACCACAGCGAGGACATTTAGGGCGTTCTTCACCGCACAAAAGGTAGCTATGTGTTGCGTGCGTGTGGCCAATTCGTAACCTGCTGAGGGTTACTTCTTCGTGTCTCAGCTTACGTGAGCTTGAAGACCATAGACCCAGTTGTGGCTTGATCATCTTTAACTTATTGTTTACAATGGCGTCCCAGCAGCGCTGCCATTTCGCCTTCACAAAGGTCGCGATTGCGGGGTAAAAGTCCCTTGCCGGCAAGGGTAAAGAACGGGTGCAAGGTGCACGCGCTGCCCGTTTTGCGGCCGCGTCAGCACGCTCGTTACCTGCGATACCCACATGACTCGGTATCCAACATAAGACGACAGTTTTACCAGCAAGATCCAGCGC